AAGACCTTATGCAGATACTCATTCTAAGCATCCCTCTATTGGAGTTACAAAATATAATTGAGCAATCTGTCATATTGAACGTTTGGGTAAGAATGCAAAAGTATTTATAGTAATCATCTTTTCAATGTCTTTGATAACACAATAAAGTATGAATGACAACATATATTACACATGAAGAGGCAAATTTCAAAGGTGTAAATATTTCTAAGCTCAGGTGTTCTTTCACACAAACCGAAAGTGCAAAGGAAAACATTAAACACGAGCTACTTTTATAAGGCAACATAAATTTCACACCAGTTCCGCAATAATTATACTCCAGGTTTTGTATGCCAGGAAAGCAGTTCCGCAATAATTATACTACAGCAGTTCCGCAATAATTATACTCCAGGTTTTGTATGCCAGGAAAGCACAAATTTAAGTGTTCTATTTATATATGTCAAGTAAATTAGTTTATTGAAGTTTCCATTAAACTCAAATCTGATTCCTGAGCTAAGGAAGGAAATCTAGGCTGAGAGAGCCAAAGAGAAGAGGCACTGTTAGGAACAATCTGGAGGCAACTATCATTGTAGGCCCCACTGCACCTGCTCTGGGACATGACTCCTCCAGTCTCCCATCATAGTGCCATGTGGAGCCTGGCAGGGCCTGGATTCAACTGGTCAACTTGCTGGCAGACCTTGGCAACTCATCTGGCCTCTGTAAACCTCACTTTCCTCAACTATAAAATGGGGATAATACTAATTTGCTGGGATTAAACAAAAATAGTGGTGCCAGGAACTCAGTAAAAGTTCAATAAACAGGGTCATTATCACGATATTCCTGGTCAAAGTTTCCTTGGATCCAAATGGTTGTTCAGGCTCCCTGGAGCCAATGACCTCCTAGAGATCTCCCTCCTACTTAATCTTTAGATGAGAAGGGGAAGGGGACTAAGAGGAGGGGTGCCTGGGGCTGAGGGCAGAAGCCCACAGAGCAGGAAAAGCTGGAGCAAAGGAGAAGAGGGCCAGGGCAGAGGCGAGGTGGAGGGTAGGGGCAAGGCCCCAGCCCGAGGGGTGGTGGTGGGCAAGGGCAAGGCCCCCACCCAATGGGGAATGGGGGTGGAGGGCGAGGAGTCTGCCTGATGGGGGATGGCGGATGGGGGTGGAGGCTGAAGAGCCAACCAGATGGGGGATAAGGGGGCAAGGAGCCAACCCGTCGGGGATGGGGGATGGGGGTGGAGCACGAGGAGCCAGCCAGATGGGGATGGGCGTGGAGGGCGAGGAGTTGGCCCTGACGGGGATGGGCGTGGAGGACGAGGAGTCGGCCCAATGGGGATGGGNTTTTTTTCCTTTACTACTCTCCCAAAGTAAGAACGTGTCAAGTTTTGGCAGGTGGTGACAATAGGAAATTATTATAAAAAACGACCAACTAAATTAAAATATAACTGGAAATGATCAATGGGCTTAACAAAATCTATCTGAATGTGCCAGTAATTCTGTTAAGATTAATAAAAGATCTATTAACAAGATTCAAATGAATATAAATGAACTACCACCCTTTAACTTAGTCATGGATGAGTACTACATTGAGTTTTGGACTTCATATAGCAAAAAGAACGTGAACAGCCAAGACGAAATCCAGTAATAAGTAAGCCAAAAATTGTTGTGGAGAGATGCTTTTGAAGGCAAAGCTGAAACAATCCATGCCTGGCTTTATGTGGTTACAAACACAGTCCCTACCTTACCAGTGATGCCTGTGGGTCCGGGGAGGGGCAAAAGGAATTTGTAAAGGTATTTTCACAGTAGCCTTAAGATATGTTTTTAATCATAATCTGTATTTTTAAATTAAGACAAGATTATTTTTAACTTAAGTTTGGCACTAGTTTTAAAAGGTTCAAAACATCATTTTGACAAGATTTGAATAGTAATGGACATGTAGTTTAGGTTGACTGAAGTTCAAGACCTTATGCAGATACTCATTCTAAGCATCCCTCTATTGGAGTTACAAAATATAATTGA